GCACGTGCTTGATGGGGATGCTGGCTGTCATCACTCCACAGTTGCCCGCTTGCCCTGGGTTTTATACAAGAGGTTTCTCCCAGCCCTGGCTCTAGGGCAGCCCCGTGGGGCCAGCTGCACACCTTTCCTAGCCAGCTCCTGGATTTTGCCCCCAACCCTCTCCTGTGGTCCCTGGGCTTCCTCCCACCCTCTCCATAAGGTGTTGCACTCCTCAGCCAGAGCCAAGAAGTCCCAAGTCATCTTGAGATGCTTGTGGCAAGGGCTAGGTGGGTGTCCTGCTGCCCAAGCTCCTCTGCATATCCCCAGCAGGGAAATTGAGGCAGGCAGGCAGCGGTGCCGGGGCTACGGCACGGCTCATGTGGCCCATGTGTCACTTCTCCAACAGGCTGAGAGCTACCAAGCAACTGTCCACCATCCCTGCTGGCCCACAGGCTATCAAAAGAGCCTGTCGCTGAGCAGCGTCTATGACAGCCCCTGCACAGACAAGGAGAGGCCAAGCCTTGCCCTCAACACCACCATCACTGTGGTTGGCACTGGAAACGGGAGCCTCTGCGCTCTGCAAGTCAGCAAGATCTTCAACTTCACCACCTGCTCCTTCTCCCGCTGCTCCTTCGATGGCGTTTTCCAGCCGGAGGTCTCAGGAAACTTCATCGTAAGTGCTGGCATGGAGCAGGGTGGTGGCCTGGCTGCTGGGTGGGTAGGTGACACCAGCCCTCTGGAATCACATGGTGACAAAGCCAGACCCCCAGCTCTACAGGGGCAGTCATTTGTGCCCACCACAATGGTTAGAGTGACTGTTCATGGCAAGAAGGTTTGATCCCAGCCTGTCCCACAGCTGCCTCCTTTCCTCCATCAGGCATTCTCTGCCTTCTTCTACACGGTGGACTTCATCCAGACCGTGATGGGGAGACCTGTGCGCTTGCCCAGCGACCTGAAGGATGCTGCTGAGGCCATCTGTGCCACCAGCTGGAGTGAGGTGGGCTCCACAGACATGGTGGGGAGGAGAGGGCTGCTCTGTGTGGGGCATTAGCCGGGCTCTGAGAGCAGCCCTTGGAGGGGGCTGAGTGTCCTGGGATGCATGGAGTAGGGGGAGGGTGGGCAGCAGGTCTCACATGGGACCAGGAGAGGCTCAGGTGGGTATGGGCAGCACCTTGGCCAGCCAGATGCAACCACCCAGAGCTTGAGGCCACAGAAACAAAGCCTAGACCCTGCTGGCTTGACCCCTTTTCTCTCTCCCTCCATGCATCCCATCCAGCTGCTCCAGAAAGCCCCCAACCTGGAGAAGAGGCTGCCGGATTACTGCGCTGTCAGCACGTTTGTTTATTTGCTCACCACCAAAGGCTACAACTTCAACAACCATTCCTTCCCCAACATTGCCTTCCAGAAGAAGGTAGGTAATGCCAGAGCACATACCCATCCCATGGTATTGTTTGGAGTTAGGCCAAAAACCTCTGCAGGAGAGACGATCCCACACCAAGAAAGAGCCAAGCAATGTGAAGGAAGATCTTGGGGAACAGGCAGGACGGGAATCCCAGTTTTTGGGTGGATCTTCTGTGAGATGGAAAAAAATGAGCGGAGCTGACTGTAGGGTGGCCATGGAGTCAGGAATATCAAGGTCCTCCAGTCCTTCCTTGGCCCTCAAGACACCAGACATCCCAAAAAACTCTTTGCTCTAGTTTGTTGGGAAGTTATCTCAGGGCAGGATCCCATCTTTGCCAAGTCTCCTCACCTCGAGTCATGGGATGGGCAGCGAGATCGGGACGGGCCCAAGCAGATGAAATCCTGCTCCCATCAGGTGAGCCCAGCTCAGCATGGGACGGTCACTGCTTTGTGCCTGGGCTGGCTGGACCCACGGACAAAAGAGGGCTCAGTGTGCTGCGGACTGCCCCAAGCCCCTCTCCTCCATTGGGCTGACAGTGAGGTGGTCCCTGGAAGGTGTCTCGAGGGCCATGGATCTGGGCTGACCAGTGTGGTAACCATGCTATGCTGTTTCCACAGGCAGGAGAAACCTCCATCGGCTGGGCCCTGGGCTACATGCTGAACCTCACCAACATGATCCCGGCAGAGAAGCCCTCTTCCCACAAAAGCATGCTGTACAACTACTGGGTCATGCTCATCCTCCTCTTTGTGGTCACGACCCTGACGTCTCTGGTGACTGCCGTCTGCCTGCTCCGGCGCAGCAAGTCCCTCGCAATCTAACAGCAGGGACAGGGTGGGCCTTGTCTGCAGGACCCGGCACCATCCTCCCTGCTGGAGTCTCCATGGCCTGAACACCTGGGACGCGGCAAGTGCTTGGAGATGTCCTCCAATACCTGATGCTGCCTGTCCCAGAAGGAAAGCCGTCCCTTTTTGCTCTCCCCTTGCTTTCAAGCTGCAGAAAGGGAGGGACAGAAGAGGACCAGTGGCCCTGCAGGAGAACAGCTTAAGTGCTTCCCAGTGCTACTCAGGGATGGACCCCAGAGCAGGCTCAGGATTTGGACGTTCAAATCTGGGGCGTCTTTCTGCCACCAGACCTGGGCTGGACTGGGCCAGTAAGTCCAGACGACAGCAGGATTTATTCTCACATGCATGGGCTGGGTGGGGAATATTACTTACACTAACCCTTACAGCTGACCTCGCTAGCCTGTCCCTGGAGCACCAGTCTTGCCTCCCGGGGAGCATCCAGAGCCCATGCTTTTGGGCTTTCTGGCCAATGCACAAACCCCAGTGACCTTCCTGAGGGCCAGACCTTCGCCTGGGCTTCCATCAGCCTCAGCACAGGGGCTTTGGGTAGGGGCTAAGCAACAACCAGTCATGGGGAGCGGGCAGCTTCCTGGGTCCTGCTCCAGCAACCAGATGCTGTGCCTTCCCCATTCCTGCGGTTACTAAGCCAGACTCGCCTTTGTCACAGCCAGAGCCTCCTCTGTCCCCCCGGCAATGGCACAAAATAACCCCATGGCACCCTGGTGCATGGCCGTGCCAGCACAGAGGTAAGGGGATCACTGTGGGAGCGGGGCTTTGCGCTGCTTTAGGATTTGAGCCCTGCATCACCTCACAGCAGGGAGCTGGGAGGATGCACCTTCATTTCCGAATCAGTGAAAACAGGGACGTGCGCACGTGCAGAAGGTTCGGTGTTTTTTTTTATAATCAGAAATAAATCTTTGTAACCACTCCTACGGCTCTGCGGGTCTTGATCAGCAACAGGCTGCTCAAGCCTGGCTGTCTCGCAGGGTAGAGTCACTTATGGGGTTACTCAGACCCAACCACAGGTCAGGCTCTGCCTGAAGGTCTCAATCACTTGCAGCCTGCCCAGTGCTGGGGCACCATCACAGCTTCGTATGCTATACCAGCCCGGAGAACCGCCCCCGAGATGGACCAAGGTGGGCTTCAAACCTCACCCCAGGCTCAGGCCCACCTGGAAGTGGAAGCGTTTCAACCAGCCACAGTTGCCAAGTTGAGGTTTCCCAAGCGCTAGAGGTCCCGTCACCCCAAAGGCGTGAGCAGTTAGCGCTCAAGCCGGCCGTCCTGCGCACCCACCCCTGTGCTCACGGCCACAGCCTCCACGTAAGGAAAACACGGAGGGAGCCTCTGCTCCCTGGGGACCGGGTCTGGCACCCAAGCCGGGCAAGAGAGCTGCCCGCAGGCTCAGCAGCGCGTTCGTGCATCACCGGCAGCTCAGAGGCCACGGCAGCACCCAGCCGCCGGGCAGCTGCGCGGGGCCAGTCCTGACTCGCCAGCCCATCTGGAAAGAGCCTTCAGCTCCACTGCGTTCCCCCGCACAGCCGAGGAGGAGCAGCTTTAGTGAGAGCTGGGGTTTCTCGCTGCCCTCCTTGCTCTCACAGGCAGCACCAGCTCCACGCCCCGCTCCGGCCGAGCTCCCAGGACGCCTGCTTGGCTCAAACCCGCCCGTTCCCCGCAGCCACTTTGCTTTTGGCTGTTCCACTGGCTGCTCCCCATCTCTCTGCACAGGCCCAGTGTGATGCCAGTTCAGACGATATTCTGAGCCCCCAAACCGTTTCTTCCCCGGGCCCCTCGTCTCCTCAGCACAGGGACTCCCTCCTCTGGCGAGGCTTGGGGACCGTCTCCACCTCTCACACAGGAGGAGGCGTTTCTGCTCTCCGAAGCTGAAGTGCTGCTGCTCTGCTCTGCGAAAGCAGCTGGCTTCCAGAACCCAGGCTGGGTTTCCCCTTCAGAGACGTTCAGCTGCAGGTGAATTGGAGCTGGACATCCACTAAGAGCAGCTGGGTTGCCCTAGTCATGACTTGGAGTTTGCTGTTAGGAAAACGTGAAGAGAGGCTTCTTAACCTTCCCACGTGCCCCTCTGGACAAGTGGGATTTGAGATGGTGCCATTCCCTTGCCGGCTGGTTACAGATCTGGATGGAGAGTCTGGGACTGGCTGGGTGATGTGCCCCAAGAGAAGGCGAGCACCGCGTGCACCCCCTTTGCAGGGGCAGAGAGGACAACCCAGAGGCCGTGTGGCTGCAGGGCTCAGCTCATTCCGGCAGGTGAGAAAAGCCTTGCTGCTATAAGGACAGGGACACTGCCACCAGTCAGGCTCAAGAAACAGAGAGCAGACGGCAGCAGCTCTGCCCTCTCACAGCTTAGCCCAGACCCATCCGTGCCTGCTGTCACCTCAGAGCCCTGTGCTGTTGGATTGCGAGTGCGGTGGCCTCAGGGGGCCCAGAGCTCCCCGCTCCGGCGTTTACTGCAGGGGCTGCCTCAGGGTGACATTTGTCACCTGCACCCCAGCTCTCCCTGTCCCTCCGCCAGCCTTCACTCCATCCACAACAAGTGCTTTCAGCTCTCAACTTTTATTGCACCCCCACGTGCAACGTTCAGAGGCCACCTGGGAGGCAGCAATCCCCGCGGGGCCTCCCCCACTGATCCGCCACTGCAGGGTCAGTGGGAACAGGCAGTGCCACAGAGCCCACCAGTTTCGCAGGCGGCACAGGCACAGGCAGGCTGGGCAGGCAGGAAGGGGTGAAGCAGGACGCAGGCACGGTGAGCTGTGCTCTGCTGGCTACTCCACAACATCCCCATACTTGTTCCTCTTCACTGGTGGTGCCACGCTCTCTCTGTCCTCTGGGCTGGGCAGATTCTCTGCAACAGAAAGACCATGGACCCCCAACTAGCCCAGTGTGTTTGCCAGGGGCGGGCAGAGAAGCCCAGAGACCTGGTGAAGCCTCTTCAGCTAGGCCCAGCCTTGGGGAGCTCAGGGTACCAGTGGGAGAAAGCTGCTAGTAGCCATGGGAACCGCCCAGCAGTGGCTGTCCCGGTGCCCCTCCAGCTCTGCCCACTGTACAGAGCAACCGAGGTGCGGAGGGGTTTACTGCCTCCCTCCGTCCCCACTTTCTTCTTCCTCTTCCAGCAAACAAGCCCTTCATGCTGGCTGTTGTGAATCCACAAAGCAGGCAGGGCAGCAGGCAGAAGCGAGCGCTCCCACCCCACGCTGCCAGCCCTGCCTCAGGTACCTGCAGCGCAGGCGATGGGCCAGGAGCACGGAGGGACACAAGAGCCATGAGGTCAGGCAGGGTGCTCCAGCCACCCAGCACTGCTGCCATCCCAGGCACCTGCTCCCAACCCTTGGCCACGCTGTGCCAGTGTGGGACTCATACGGGGATTCTGGCAACGACACAGTCACCAGCTTAATTATGAAGCAGGAACAGCAAATTGTTGCAGCAGGGAAGAACCAGGCACAACAAGCCCAGGGAAAGCAGCAGGGAGAGATGTGAACGTACCTGCAGCCTGAGGCACCCTACCAGCCACGGCGAGTTCCTGTGGTGACTTGCCTGTCTCCAGGTAAATCCAGAAATCAGAGCATTTCTGCGTCTCAGCTCTGGTTACCACATAGCTGGCGAGGGACCCTGTGGCTGAAGAGACCAAGACGCTCCTGAGAGCACTGTCAGCAAGGGCATTTGCTAAGGGCAGCGGTGGGGGAAGCACCTGCCAGCTTACGAGCTG